ATTTGGAATCAGCGCTCCAAGTTGCATATAATGGTGTACATTTCATTTTATAAGGCCACAGTCACCAAGTATCCTTCCCTTGTAAGACCAACACAGAATTTTCTTGTCTATCGGATAAAAACAGAAGCGCTTCATTTCATTGAGTTTAGGCGAAGTTACCAGCAATTTTGTCCGTCACATTTCATGTGGACCACCCTGTATTGATTTTAACATAATGTTTGTTAGTTCCCTTTTCGGCAATAAAAAAACTCACTTTGAAACAAAATTCTCCAGTGCATGTGACATTTTTGGAGCTCATCTAAAATACAGGTCTTGAGTTGCAAAATGACAAAAAGGAGTGAAACTAAACAAGAACTTACTTGCGTTCCCATAACCTTTGTATTGACAAAAGCTTGACATTTCTGCTTCTCGGGTACGGTAATTTCGGGTTTTTCTGCGTTACAGTAATCCGTGCCACACACGCACGATTCGGTTTTCAACAAGTCCGATGCATCCTGTATAAATATCATTTTTTATTGTATTTTTAAAAATAATGGACTCACCTTAGCAACTGTGTGATGCATTGCACCCGTGATAGGTGGAATCATACAGGATCCCATTGACCGCCGCTCCACCAGGGGTACTGAAGCGTTAACGCAGCCCTGAATAAGCATGGATGTAAGAAAAGACACGAGTCAAAAAGTCCGTGCGTTGTTGGGAATTCTACCAAAAAAACAGAACAGAGGTTGCAAAGGAGAACAAGCAGTTTCTAGCTTCACCCCCGGACATACCTTCATTCAAAAAATTATCTATATCATTGACTTTGAAGTTAGGAGTCTAAACATCGCACTGTGCAATTAACAAGTTTATACCTAGCTTTACCAATATTATTGATTTGTTACTTGTAAAAAGATCAAAAGACATTTTGTACAACAGGTTCGAACTCGTTAGCCAACATGTACATAGCGTCCCCTAGTATCCTAGTCCCATAGTAAATAATATTCATGCGCTACGGATCAAACTCTAGCCAGATCTGTGATTTTGACTATGGTAGCTACCGTATGCCCACCGTAATCACGAAAAATGACGATTTGTGCGAACGTGATATTGATGATCAACATGTCAATTAACCCTTAAAATGAGATGTGAAGAAAATTCAAAACATTCGATAATAGCCCTCGATAGCCGAAAACAGCCGATACCTGCAGCATACCTTCTGTTATAGCTAGGAATTTCACATCGTAAATCAAAAAAAAA